GATACAAATAAGATTGAAGATTTACTGAGCTTTATTTTCTGTACTTTATAATCTGAAAACAATAGGTAATGTTTTTTTTTCAAGTATGAAACTATTTACTAAATATGTGCTTTCAAAGTATATTACTCCTCCCTACTCCCAGAAATTTTGATGCTCTGATCCCATTGAAAATCTCTGCTCTTCATTTACTCTGCTTAGGTAATTTTATTGATTTGCATCTGTGCAGATACAGTTTTGTATCTCCACAGACCTCTTTCTGAGTTTGAGACCTGTATATCCAACTATTTGTTGTATGTCTTCACCTGGACAACCCATAGGTATTCTAAAATTCAGTATGCTCCAAAGTGAACATACCCTTCTCCCCAAAGCAACCCTTCTTCCTATATTATCTGACTTGAGAAATAGGAATAATACCACTTTCTGTACAGCTAACTGGGTTAGTCCCTCACTGAGTTATTTGACAAATCTTCGAACTCTTCATATTTTTTTTATTCATTTCCTTCACCTTTCTGGTGTTCCTACTCTAGTTCTTGCCTTCATATGTATTTTGTTTAGATTTTTCTAATATCCCCTAACTTGTGTCCTTGCCTTCTATCTCAATTCTGTCTTCCGCACCACCTCAAATATGATTTTTGTAAAATACTGATCTGTTAATATGCTTCTCTTGCTAACAACCCTTCAGTGATTTATAATGGGGTTGTACAGTTTTTAGCCTGTTTACATCATGATCTAATTTGCAAATCTAATGAAAGAAATGGAGTGTTTTTCTCTTAAAAAAAATGCTCGTGCATATGGAATTTGCATGAGCATTTAGGAGTTTAGAAGTTTTAGAAGGTTCATTTATCAACATAGTTAAAATAATTCCTGGCTTATAGGATAAAACCCAAGCTTCCTAGTATCCATACCATACAAATGCTGATTTCTGCTTACTCCTGTTTAGAACCATCCCCCTATGGCATAGAATTTAGCCATGTCAGATTCCTTAATTTTTGTATTCCGTGCTGTTTCAAAATGCTTCTGTGCCCTTTTCTGACCTGCTTTACGTCTAAAATTCATCCCTTTCCCATTGCCCAGCTGGTTCAATTAGTGAGTACCTGTTCATGTTCCAAGACTGACTCAGGTTTTACTTTATAAAGCATTTTTTATTTCCTCTTCCTTTCCTCTTCCCCAGAGAGACTTGCCTGTTTCCTTTTTTGGGTTGCCCTCTCCCATTCTATGGATACTGACTTGTATCATAGAACTTTATTGTTCTTGTTTATATATTTTTGTTTTCTTCTACTTGCTTGAAAACTCCTGAGGGCAGGTGATTTGTCTTAGTTGTCTTTGTGTCTAATGCCTATAAAGTACCTTGTATCTTAAGATGTGTGTTGAATGAACATAAAAAATTGTCAAAAAGCAGTGTCTTCTATTTTAATGGATGTAATTACTAGGTCTGTGTGTTGACTTTGTAGAATTAGAAGATTTTCCAAACTGTAAATAGCCTAGTAATCTTTTAGAAAGTAGTGTGTTATATTTGTTGGGAAACTGCTGTAGAAATTTTATGAAAAGTAGATTCCAGTTAGGTTTGGTTGCAAACAACACAAAGTAATTCTAGCTTACTTGAGCAGAAAGGAACTTACTGAAAGGTCAGTGGGTATTTCGCAGAATGGATGGGAAAGCTGGAAAATTAGGCTTGGGAAATAGGCAGGAACTAAGGGAGGCTCTGCTGCAGACTCAGCCAGGGTCAGGCCACAGGAATATAATAGCACACTGCTACTGGATCTGCACCACTGCCTCTGCTGAACGCACACCACCACCTTTTCCATAGATTCTGAACCCTAGGTGTGAACCCCTGACTTGGCTGAACCTAGATCACATATCTGTACCCTGGGTGCCATGGACCAGAACAGGAGAGAAAATATCTAGTCTGTTTTAGCTTTTTATAGTGGGGGATTTTTTTTTCTACTAAGATTGACACTGTGGGATGCTCCGTAGATAGGAAATTGAGGTCAGATAGCAGGTAGGCAAAAACGTAAAATGAAAAGGTGAAAGTAGCCCTGGCTGGGTGGCTGAGTTGTTTGGAGCGTCTTCCTCTACACCAAAGTCTGTGGGTTCAGTTCCTGGTCAGGGCACATACTTAGGTTGTGGGTTTGATTCTTGGTCGGGGCATGTGTGTGAGGCAACTGATTGATGATTCTCATATTGATGTTTCTTTCCCCCTTCCTCTCTCTAAAATCACTAAAAGCATATCCTTGGTTGAGGATTTTTAAAAAAAGAGGTCCCTGGCTGGCGTGGCTCAGCGGTTGAGCATTGACCTATGATCTAGGAGATGGTAGTTGGATTCCCGGTCAGGGCACATGCCCCGGTTTCAGGCTCAATCCCCAGTGGGGGGTGTGCAGGAGACAGCTGATCAATGACTTTCTCATCATTGATGTTTCTATCCCTCCCTCTCTCTGAAATTAATAAAAATATGTTTAAAAAATATATATAGAGTTGAAAGTCCATTACAGCACTGCTGCTAGTTAAATATCTGATTCATAGACCTCAGAAATTTTATTTTACCTCTATGGGTTTCTCTTTTATTGGTTTCCCTTTTATTATTTGTAAATTTGAAATACTGTCTTTTCCCTATTAAATAGTAACAGTGTAAAAGTGTGATCAAATATTTTGAACTCCCTGTTAGGAACACAAGGAATGTTGCTTTTATTCCTTTGATGTAAGCTGTAACACTTTTTCCCTTTCTTTGGAGTATGTATTAATAATTTTGAATTACCTTTCTGAAGTTTATGGGAACTTAAAGTTGAGAAGGGCAGTCCAGGGCATGTTGTTTGATATATTGGGTATTTTGATATAATTTTGTAGCATTGCTCCCCGAAGATAGAAACAATAATCATTCTAGGACATTTCCCTTAGTTTGCTTATTACAGATCTTAAATTTTTGCCAGCCTTCCCTGTCTCTTTTTCCTATTGTTAGCTGTCTGAACCTCCTTTTTTTTTTTTGTTTTTACTGGACTTCCC